TACTTTGTTAATACTTTATTTCAATTACGCAGCTGATAGTATAGCCTGTTAAACCGAAGTAGAGTTTACTTTGTTAATACTTTATTTCAATTATGCAGCTGATAGTATAGTCTGTTAAACCGAAGTAGAGTTTACTTTGTTAATACTTTATTTCAATTACGCAGCTGATAGTATAGCCTGTTAAACCGAAGTAGAGTTTACTTTGTTAATACTTTATTTCAATTATGCAGCTGATAGTATAGTCTGTTAAACCGAAGTAGAGTTTACTTTGTTAATACTTTATTTCAATTATGCAGCAGATAGTATAGCCTGTTAAACCGAAGTAGAGTTTACTTTGTTAATACTTTATTTCAATTATGCAGCTGATAGTATAGTCTGTTAAACCGAAGTAGAGTTTACTTTGTTAATACTTTATTTCAATTATGCAGCAGATAGTAGAAGTTGTCGTTACATTTAAACAATTACCCAGTTCGTCACGCCACATTTACTAATTAATCATTTTGGAAGTTATTGCAATCCAGGAAGGAGAAGTTTGCGATGGTTTCAGAAATTAGCTATAGAACTTTTGTTCAGCACGTCTATGATCAATACCTTTATCTTGTATAAAAAGGCTAACAACATCTAAAAAATATACTATAACTACATTCAAAGAAAATGTATGCCGCCAATTGATTGGGCTTACTAAGAATATCAGGCAAAATTATCAACGTTGTCCCACTGACCATGAATTTGGAAAATCTCCATTAGTCGACCATCGAAACAGAACAGTGAGAAGAAGATGCATCCACTGTTATGAAAATAAAAGAAGTGAAGGACTGACAAGTGTGGAGGCATGTAAGGTGACTAAGAATGTCAATACAGTGTTTAACTTGTCCCTCTTTTCCTAGTGTTTGCACCGAATGTTTAGTTAATGTTCATAAAGACTTAGTTATTCATTAATTTCATTATGTCTTTTTCAATATAAATTAACGTTTCTTTAATTAAAAAAGTGCATTTTTATTGCTTATAGTAATCCCTCACAAAACAGTCAATTTTAATGGTAGAACTATGAACTTTTTTTTGAATTGTAGAAAAGAAGTCGAAGTTTAAGTCTGATAGATTAGTTTTTTTTGTAGCAGCAGGCCACGATCTACAAAAATTATATGAATTTGCGAGATCGTAGCGGACCGTACGGCCTGCTAGTATAAACAACAAGTAAGCCCGCCGGCCGCCCGCACGGCCTGCTGCGCTCGACGCGTTTTTTGCTGTGGCCTGCTGGTGGTAGTATAGGTATGGTACGCCGCTGGCACGTATGGCTTGCTAAGCTAGAAAATTTTATATAAAGGTGGCAGTGAGAGTGTTAATATTAGGTTGTAACTCTAAGGTATACCTTAGAGTATTTAGCAAGCTATGCTTATTTATACTATAAGGGTTACACATTGTGAGTTTAGAGTACAATTAGCCTGTTTTTAAAGTATGTATAAGTTTTCTCATTTTTCTCGAGTTTCTGAGTAAACTAAAAGATGGTAAAAAAGAAAATTAGTTTTTCTATAAATTTATTAATATTCGTCATGTCTATTAAATGGCCAAAGTATTGTATAATGTAGATATAGACTATTAGAGATATCAGAAATCAACTATGACGCAAACATTTAACATAATGCCTCATAAGTCCTCAGTACCATTATATTTTCCCAAATTCTCAGCGTTCGGCGTTTACAAAGAGCAAAATAATTACGCTGAACTAATTTCTGTGTACGACAGACAGTACTCTGTGGTACTGAGGTGATTAGGTCTATGCGCTTAGATACGGTCGCCCTTGTGTCGCGCCGCCTTGGCACGTTCCGCATCTTGTCAAAGGCGCCGCCACGATATCAAAGGTCGCCGCGTGCAGCGTACACCCGCAGGAGAATTCGGCATTTGAAAACGAAGAGCCGCGCCGTAGTGAGTTTTTTTTGCGGCGCGACGCCGCATATTGACAAAGGCGCCGCCGCGATATCAAAGGTCGCCGCATGCAGCATACACCCGCAGCAGAATTCGGCATTTAAAAACGAAGAGCCGCGCAGTAGTGAAAGTTTTTTTTTGCTACCTAACTTGTGATTATTATTTATATAAGTTTTTATTACAATAACCATAAGAATAAAATAGTAACCTATTTTATTCTTAGAAAAGAAAAACATTTATTTAACAAACATAATAAAAAAGCAAAATAATAAGTGCGCCTCCGGGTGTACCGACAATATCTTAGTGAACTGACTTTACTAGACCTCAAACTTGATTGGACTTTGCGATCGGATGCGTCTGTAGTCATATGTAGCTGCATTACCTAGTAACCTCTATTTGAACCTTATTATCACTTGGTTTATTAACGTGACAGGTAAGCAATGGAAGCTTTAAATTTTTGCAAAGTATAGACACAGGTCAACAGCGTTAATACTGCAAGCTTTTAAATAGAAATATTATTATACTAGCTTTTTACCCGCGGCTTCGCCCGCGTGCGCTTGAATTTAGGAACATCATTAAATGCTGTTCTGTGCTAAATTTAAAAAGATTCGATCACTTTTAGTCACCTCGGTGTCTATGTCTCTATGTCTATCAAAGATTTTTTTCATTCTAAAATACTATTAGACGTAGATAATTGGTAACATGTTACAGAAACACTTGAATATATACATATGTCTAGAAGCACCTACCATTTTTTATGTATCCATAAGAAAGGTAAATAGTCTTGAAATCAAAATGTATTATTATTATTTACATTTTACTTTTTACAAATGATTCATAGTTAAAATTAATTTATTTTTAACAAAGTAATATGTTTATTTGAGACATTTTATTCAAATCATTGATTGGCACCATAAAATAGATGTAGAAATTTTTTTACTTGGAGTAGACTTGAAAATTTCATAAATACAGTTCTATAATAATGAATACTACACATGGATTAAAACGAATGTTACGGGTTTTTTTACGCATCTTGGATGAAAGTTCCGAGTAAAGGAACATATCGTTGATGTGAAGCACCGAAGCTCCGAGAAGTCTAAAGTATGTAAACATATTTAGTATCGTCCCAACCATTATATCGGATCTGATAGACAACAAATCCTTGCAATAAAACACCGAATCCAACCAATGGTGATTCGCGAGGCTATTATATTATATTATATATAATAGGGAACGTGGCTAAGTACTACCATCTGTTAAGGACCCCATAATTAATAAAATTAAATTCAAACTACTACTGCATTTATTCTATTCTATTTTAACGATGACATCAGGTCGTCAAACACCTTAGTTCTCCAGCCCCTCCCGTAACCATGGGTGCTGTAAAGTGCCCAAAACATCGCGAATTTGAAAAGTTAAAATTAAACGCGATAAAATCCTTAAAATTAGTTTGATTCCATTCAATTCCACTACAGTGCGTTTTACTACGAGTAATGTTCCTTGTACAACCTCTTTGTGGAATCGTTTACTGGCGGATTTTCAGACCAATACGACTTAGGGACTTTCAAAGAAAGAGTTTACTCCTTTCTAAAAGGCCGGCAACGTTTGCCCCCTCTTATAAATTTCACAGTTAATATGAGGAGTACTACGCCCATGAGCGGAAGTAGAAAAATGTATGAATGTAGAAAAATGTATGTATGTAATGTAGAAATAAATACCTTATCATTTTTCATATTTTTGATAGACGTCACTATTACCTATCGAAATTATTACACTTTAAAAATAAAATAACAAAAATACTAAAAAACTAAACGTTAGAATTTTTTGATACTTTTAAAAATCTAATCATTTAATCATATAAATGTAAGTTATTTATATTATTTCATTTATTAGTAACTGAAGACAAAATATGCTACTTTTTCCATTTGATGATACATGGCGCTGTTTTGAATACCAAATCTGTGTAGTTTCAAATTATTTCACCAAGATTATAATCTTGGTGAAATAAATTGAAACTACTACTACTACCATATTTTAAACTTTATTTACAAATATGGTTTTTATTTGAAAAACACCCGTCATCCCGCCTGTAACTAAGATATAATAGAAAATTAACATCTAAAGGAAATAGAATACATAACCTTCCTTTTTTGAAGTTCCTTAATCGGATAAAAAGTAGCCTATAAGTTGCCCCGGGTTACTCACTACCTATATACAAAATTTCATGTAAATCGGTTCAGTAGTTTTTGCGTGAATCCGGAATACACAGACAGACAGACAGAAAGACAGACAGACAGACAAAAATTCTCAAAACCACTAATTTGGCTTCAGAACCCTTTATTTAATCCCCTGAACTTGTTTTTTCAAGAATATATTATAATTACAGACACGACTTTTCTACAGACGATTTTCGAGCAAGGCGACAATTATTGTTACAGTCCAAAGATGAAGCTATCAACAACATAACAAAATACAGTCTCACTCTCCCAGTCATTTTCAATTAATCATAATATAGTTTAGACATTTTCATTATTAGACTTGCATACTATTAATTAATGCTCTTGTGGCCATTTTGTGACCACGGCGATATTTACTCAACTGTGATGATTTATAATAATGCCACAGGCCACAGATGTACGTATAAACATTCACATAAGTAGGCACTCTATCATCATTAAGCGCCAACACGTACTAGGGCAGCGCAGAAGACTTTTCCATGTTCTCAATCCATCTCAGAAAAAGAGGACGACTGTGATGAACCGTACGTGGGTTATTATTTTACTTTTATTTTATAAATATTCGATCAGGATGGAATAAGAAAATCCTGAGGCCTTATGGTTTACACACCTCACTAGATAAAATCAAAGAGAAAAATATTGAAATGATACACGGCTTAGGATCCCATAAACTTTAATGCGGAGACGTCATAACAATCACAATAAATATAAAACTAATAAAAATAAAAACATTGTTTAACTTATGAATTAATAATGTCAACGTTTTGTTCTTACAATATTATGGGTAAATAAAATAAACAATGAAACACAAAAGTATGTACAAAATATTTTTTAATTTAATTACGTTTTATTTTGTTCGGTTTTATCGGATCTATTCACTGGATTCACTTTGCATGTGATCTTGTACGATTCAACCAATTTCACCGACTCCCGGACCAAAATCGTCGATCGAATAGTGAACGAGTGCGAGAAGCAGACTGCGGCGTCACAGAGCGCCGTTTGGAAGCTGAGGTACAAGCGATAATGTGTCTTATCGGTTCTCTGTTTTAATTTCATTTCCACTCGCCCAGGTAACTTGGTACCTTTGAAAGAGCAGGCGACAAATTCGAAGTCGTCTAGTGTGACGTCCTTATTATTGTCGTCTCGGATGCAGACGTGCCAGTTTTGAGGTGCTCCGGGTGTAAACTTTACGTTCTTCGTCTCAGAATCTAAACTAACGTTGAAATAAATAATAAGATTCCCGCACTTTCTATTTACGAACAAGTCATTTTTGTACAGAATAAGGTTTTCGGGCTCCGTGAATTTCGGATCGGGGAGCCGCACTTTGAACTCTTGGCACACGTTTTTGGCTAGATTTAAGATTTTGATGCTGTGATTGTTAGTGTCCGCAATGTACAAATATTTGCCGTCATTACTCGCGGATAGACCGGAGGGCTCGTTAAACTTGGCAGGGTCCGTGGTCTCGATCATCGTGGGATTCATTGTGGTGACTTTTTGAGGTCCAATTTCGACTTTTTTTACTTTATGATTGTAAGTGTCTGCGACGTAGAGTGTCTTGTTATTGTCGCAGTACGCAACACCGAGCGGATGTTGGAACTTTGCTTCCACGCCTATATCGTCTACATCTCCGAAGGCAAAAAGGTTCTGAAGAAGAAACAAAGATTACAGAGATAGTTATCTTATGCGTTATTTATTTACATAGGCTTTGTTGCATCAAAGCTCAAAAGCTTTCTTAACACCTCTAGGCGTTACCTACCAGTTATTTTATAACTATAACAAAGTATATAATAATAGTTATAATTACAGATCCACAAAATAAATTCATTAATAATACACACACCCAAGTACGCCTGCACGCACGCACGCACGCACGCAAGCACGAAAAATTTCAAATTCAAGAAACGTACCAAAGGGTTTCGGTCACCACCACACAACGTAGATACCTGTCCAGTGGCTAGAGCTAGTCGCCGAATCGAAGAACTTTCAGAATCAGCAATGAATATCTCCGGATTTGTACCTGTCAAAGTGAGGATATAAAAATGAATAAAACAAAATATCTCTTTCACTATCACTACAAACTATCACAAGTCCACGTCTGAACATAGCCTTCCCCCTTAAATAACCAGAAAGTACGCTCCCGAACCATCCAAATTTGTCTACGTTTTTTGTCTACTGTTTTTATTTATGAGAAAACAACTTTGTTTGTTATTACTGGATTAAAATTCTGTTCACAACTTAGTGCCAGACGTTTATCGAATATTAAATCAATAAAACTCACGGAAACGTAGCGTACACAAATTTTATTTTTAAATTTTAATTATTGAATTTTTTAAACGACTCCTCTTTAAATTTTAAGTAGACAGCCAGAGAAATATTTGTACAGTCGTAAGGAATTTACTCGTACAAAAGTAAGGACTAAAACTGACGCATATCACATATATACAGGATTATTTTGGGATAACCGGCCAAATTTGCAGAGAAGATTCAGAATAAGAAATATAGACAAATAGTTAAGAATAATTAATTTTAAAAAATCTGAAACATTCTGTCCTTTTCATCTTTTAAACCCAAAATGCGTGGTAATGCATTATTTTAATTGACGATCGACCCTTACGAATGTGGTCGTTCGCAGTAAAAGCTAACGACTACATTCGTAAGGGTCGATCGTTAAGCAAAAACGTTATTGCCCTTAAATCACATTCAATTTGAGATAATTTCAAATAAAAGTATTATATTTACCCATATATTCAAAAACTGCAATAACGGTACATCATTATTAAATAATGATATATTTGAAATTAAGTTTAAAATTTGGCTACTCTTTGAAAAATAAACCTGTATATTTGAACTAAGTTTAAAATTTGACTTCTCTTTGAAAAATTACCCTGTATAATATTAAGAATCAAAATACAGTTAACATGGATGAAAATATATATATACTAATCAAATAATAATACCAAGAAATAATATGCGTCATTACCCTTGAAGACTAAGATGAAGTATGGAGTAATACCATACACGTCAGCTTTATTCTCTGTGGCTTAAGCACTTATAAAAATATAGACTTCTTGCACTAAATCATTTCACAAAGCAGTATATACTCGCACAGAGTACCAGCGTAAAATAGCAGCAAAATTCTGCGTGCTGAGTGCCGAGAACCGAAGAAACTTTTTACCGACACCGAGGCATTCCATCTAAGACTTCAGGGTTGGCAACGCATCAGCATTTGGATTCTTAGTCGATAATACATGTGCTTGTCTATAGGCCACAGCACTCACTTGTTTTCCCAGCCTTTTGGGTCAATATTCCTGTGTAAAAAAAAAAGTAATTTTTAAGTATCGATATCTCGGAAACTAAGCGAGATATCGAAAAATTTTATTATCACTTTTCAACGTATCCCGTCGAGATCTATGCGAATCCTTGAAATAGTGGTGCCGTAGGAATCGTAGAACCCCCTAAAAACGTATCCATGTTAAAGTATGACGTAAGCCAGTTAGCATGAGCAATCACTAAAGACTAAATAATAATAATGAACAACAATATTAATAATGTCTGCAACGTTATTTAAGTGAGACTTTGTACTCACCTGTTCTCAGGGTTAGTCCGGAGGGCTGTGCGAAAGCCGCTGTATTGGGGTATGCACTATTGCGAGCGGCCTCTACGCCCGAGCCCGCGATACACACGCAAGTGCCTGTACGCATGAGACGGCGTTAAAACCAATGTTCTTTCATTCATTACAGCCTATTAAACGTCCATTGCTGAATCATGGCATCATCATAAGGGAGATATTTTTTATAGTTGCCCACGCTTGGCAAGCGTGTAGACAAGTCTTTTAATATTTTGAAATGTTAATAGAAAGATAATAGAAAGAGAAAGAATATTTATATTTTTTAGTTGTTATTAGATGCCGCTGCCCATTTACCACTTCAGCTCCCTCTGTCGCCTTTTAACTACACTCACGGGACGATTTCTCGATTTTTCGGTTTGAAGACAGCTGTCACCGATCCGTTTACATCAGGGGTGAAATACCCAGACCAGACCAGCCCCATACAGATGCGATACATCAGGTACTAATGTCCTCCAGACGGTCACGGCGGTTAGCCGCAACGGAGACTAGCCATCAGCGACAGACAGGTTTATAGTGCCCGAGTGTATGCGCAAGCCCAGGCGCACTCTCTGTTCTTTCACTCACATAGTCTGATGGGCCGGTAAACCGACACGACCGGAGAAAGATCAGGCGCAGGTCTAACGGCTTTACGTGCTTTTTGAGGCACGCTGGTGAGACACCGCTAACTTTTTTACTCCGGGCAGCTACTGAGTTTCTTGACGCATTAACTCAATAACAGATATTGTTTATGGCCCGACCCGGGATTCGAACCCGGGACCTCACGATCAGCAGTCGCATTTACAACCACTAGTCCAAAGACACAGTCAGTTACTTACTACATAGATACTGTACTGCTTACAAGGCAGAAGCCCACCAGCAGTGTAAAATTTATAAACTGATAAAGAAGATTTTACTAACAATAATAATTATTTTACAATTTTTATATTTTACGAGAGATGACTTTAATAATGTTACAATAAATTTAAAACTTTAACATAACACTATTATATATGTTATTTATTTGTTATTTATGTTATTTTTTAATACATTTAATCGTCATGGTTAAAGACACTTTCGATAGCACAGTAATAAACATTTAAATAAAAAAAATATTCATTCATATCACACATACTTAAATTTAGGTAATTTTTTACGCGGCTACAAATAAATTACATTTATGTTATGAAAAATTTACAAGTATATTGGATTTGTAAACATTAATTTTAATAATTATAACTCAATGTTATCATTGTTACTACGTGAAAACATTTAAATGCTTGATTACCTTCAGTAAAACTCTTATATTTCCACCAAATCGTATTGTCAAGGAAGAGTGCCCAGATTTGATGCGAACCGGCACAAGCGATTAATAACACACGGCGTTTCTCGTCTTTTTTATCCTTGTCTGCAATTAGAAATCAATATTAATTGTAGAATAATTAAATGAAAGATTAAAACAGTATAATTACCACGTAAAAATTTAAAAAACATTTCATATAAGTGATTTCATATACATGTTTTTAAAAAAAACGTTACCCCTACACTAAGATTTTTTATAAACAACATACATGACAAGGACAACCATGCAGCTCCGGAATAATTATTTGAAACAAACATTTGTTCCGTGCCGGATTTCAAACCAGGTCCCTCGGCGTTGAAACTAAGCCAGCGCCATGGAACCGTCAAAAGTTCAACAGCATTGAGAATGTAACAACCACTGCTTAGTAGTCAAACTATAAAAACATGTGACTGCTGTCGGCAAATAGTCTGCTAAAATCGGTTAATTTACCTCGGAAATATTGTGTTGCATATATTAAAAATACAATTGAATTGATAACCTCGTGTTTTTTTTTTTGTATAGGAAAAATTATATTGGATCTTGCATTACATTTATAGTAGGCCGTGAACGAAAACAGGAAAATAGAGGAATAATGCGTTCAAACAATCTTAGTATGCGTCGATACATAAGGACACGCGACCGCAAAGCGCAAAGTAGAAAGTAAATATATTTATACGTGGTAGAGCCATGCTGCAGCTATATTAGTAGTATAGTTGTAGCACGAATGGGTCGGCTCGGCCGGGGAAAGACCACGCTCTCACAGATTACCAGCGTAAAATGGCAGTTTAACGCTGCTTTCTTTTTCTTTTTTCTTAGTCCTCACGGGTGACGACGCATCTGCATTTTGATTCTTAATGTAGGATAGATGTAGACGTCTATGGGCCGCAGCATCCACTTACCATCAGGTGGACTGTGAGCTTGTTTGACACCCTTATCCTAAAAAAAAAATAATGTACCTAACTGCTTACCGTAAACGTTACCGTTACTCGCTATTAAAGTCCACTGCTGACCATAGGCCTCTCTTATAGGTTGTCTCATAGGGGGATATTGGCCATAGTTGCCATGCTTGACAAGCAGGTTGGTAACAGCAGTTTTTTTTGTCGTTATTAGGAAGATGCTGCTGCCCATCTCGTGATTTGTTTCTCTATGTCGCCTCTCACCAACTGCTTATTGAGCCGATTGTAGTTCGCTACAAAATTCACTCATTTACCTTTGACTTCGTCTTTAGGTTCTGCGCTAGCGTTTTGGTCCAGCGGCGGTGGAGGCGGCGGCGGCAACTGCGGCCGCACCGACATGTCCATGTCGGGCGTGGTGTACAGCACCGCGTCCCACGGTGACGACAGCGCCTGTAGACCTAGCCATTTGCCGCCTATGTCGTGCAGAAAGTTACTTGTTTAATTAGTGTTTCATGTCACCAAGCCCACGTCTAAATTATTAGAATGTTTATATAGTATAAAGATTGACAAACGAACACACAGTCCACCTGATGGTAAGTCAATGCTGTGGACCAGTGTTTTACGTGGTAGAGCCATTGCTGTAGCTATATTATGATTGTTGCACAAATGGGTCGGCTTGACCGGCGAAGGACCACGCTCTCACAGAATACCAGCGTTAAATAGCAGCTCTATGCTGCTGTTTCATATGGTGAGTGTAGAGAACCGGAGAACCTTTTTACTGTAAACGAGGCAGTCCTCAAGGATGGCATCTGTATTTTGATTCTTAATCGAGGATAGATTTACATGCCACAGCATCCACTTACTATCAGGTGGACTGTGTGCTCGTTTGTCGCCATTATTATATTTAAAAAAGACAGAATGCCTCGTCACCAGATAAACCGGTCACCAGTTCTCTACACTCAACACAGCTGCATTGTTCTGCTATTTAACGCTGGTATTCTATAACAGCGTGTTTCATCCCCGGTCGAGCCGACAGATTCGTGATGCAACCATAACACAGCTGTAGCGTGTCTGTCTACGCTGACTACGTTAAATGATTTAATATTAATATTATCACCTGAATTTAATACCTTTAAGTTTTTTCTTTGTTTTAATTTGTCCCATTTTTAAGGAAAAAAATTAAATAAAATAAACGGAGAATATTAAAATTGATAGATTTTAAAATAGTGGTTTAAAAACCTTTAAATTGACACTACACGATTTTATCAAAAAAAAACTACTTACTACTTTGTATCAATCTATGGGGGAAGCCTATGTTCAGCAGTGGACTTGCGTTGCCTAGTAGTGATAGTCATAGTGATAGTGAACGTAGGGTGGTGAACTATTATTTCTTAGTTATGTTCGTAATGTGGTTGTTAATAAAAGTAGATTATAGAAAATGTTCTAGGGACTTTCTACAGACAACGGTTCAACCATCTGTTGTAACGTAAGCCTGATTTAAAATCCTACCCAGCCGAGACAGGCGGCGACAAACGCGCGAGACATCTTTTATGTATAGTTTACAAGAGCTGATCCAGCAGCCAGCTTGGCGATTACGATAGTTTTTCTGTGCATGAGACAAGGTCATGGTCGGCAGTGTACTCTCTTATTTTATGGACCTTTTTCTCGTTACTTGTGTTCTGTAGTCAGTTATATGATAGAGGTTTGCAGTTGTGCCCGCATCACAGAAAAACTACTGGATAGATTTCAGCTAGGTTTTCCAAGTTTTCTTTCTTAGACACTTGGCGTCTATTTAAAAGAAATTATTGCGATATCTTCATTTAATATAAAGTTATTAAAGTTTTAAAAAACAACATTTTGTAAGCAAAGTATATTTTTGTTTACGATCTTTTGGTTTTTCCTTTGCACATACGAAAACTTTGTTAATTATTAGCAACGCGGACGAAGTCGGGGGTATCAGCTAGTTAGTTATATAGATGATTCACTGACTCACTGTTACACTCAGTAACAGATCAAGCGCGATTCCAAACTCGATTAGCTGAACCGATTAAGCAGAGTATAAAAATAGTCCTATACACCGTTGACAATCACACGCTCTACACATATATTTATAAAATAAACTCAATTACTTAAGATACATACAGCTCAAAGTTCAAGTAGCTCAGGTGCTAAGTGAGCACGGGAAAGCAGAATGGGATTTTTGGGCCTGAAGTTAACTAATTGGTTTATACTTTAAAAAATTGCCCATATTTTTATAAAGTAAAATACAAAAAGCTCTTTCTACAATCTAGAATTGGAAAAAACAATAAAATAAGAAATAAGTTAGAAAATCGATTGTAGTGTATTATTTATGGCAATAAATCAATTACCATAAAGAATACACTAGTGAAATCCTCGTTTCTGAACGTTATCTTCCAACAGAGGAATTCTTATTTTGAAACTTGACTTGACAGTTCAAACTTTAAACTATTTATTTAAAAGAATTCGATTGGATTTGAAACGAACACAATATAATCGATTCTCGATTAAATTGAGCATTTTAATATCTGTTTTCGATTACTTTACTGTGCTAAGGAGATAAAAAATAATTGTGTGCATATCTGCAAAATAATAATAAAAAATACAAAATACCAACATTCCAACAAGTAACAGTAACAACAACAATTCAAGTGACGATCACAAATCGATATCCCTAATATTCACTTCACTTGGTTGTTGTTTTTTTAACTTTCGTTAATCGTTTCATCATTTCGTTTCATTACTAACAACAGCTGTTTTGGTAATTTTATACTGATCCTGCTTTTATATCTTTAAGTAATTATAGTGAAAATTAGCCTGTTACAGTGTAATAACAGTGAAAAATCACCTGTTATAGTGTAGGTAATAGATAATCTCACTTTTACTTATTCTACAATAACTCAGCTCCTAGATTGACAAATCTTGAAAGATTTTCAGCTATGAATTTTTTATATATATTATATAAGGTTTCAAATGATGCTACTTTCATCTTGTTAACACTTGGGCCCTAGAATGTATGGAGACGTCTGTTCTCCTTCTCCTTTCACATTACGCGTGTAACTTGAGTTCGATCCCCGTTGGCACCAATGAAATTTTAAATTGAAGACATGTGCTTGGAGGTGAAGGAAATCATGCAGCATGCCTGAATCAAGTCCGCACACGCATTGGAGCAAACTAATGACTCCATAACTCTCTCAGTAAATAAGAGGAGACTTGCAGTGGGACGCAAAATGATTTCTTATATTTGCACGAATACTTAAAAAATAATAAAACTAATTTTGCGGATTTTTAATTTCCGACCTTTATTTAACTTATTTTTAATTCCCGACGTTTCGGGTACTTTACAGCACCAGGAATTCTGCAGCTTGTGAACATGTTCAAGATGGTCTCCGCAATTACATGAGATTTGATAGAGCACAAATCCTCGCAAAAGGACACCGATCCCCACCAAAGATGATTCGCAAGGCATCAATAGCAATTAAAAAACATCCAAATTTCAATAGAGACCATGCCAATAGCTACCATGTGCTGGAGACCCCATAATTAATAAAATTAAATCCAAACCCAAGCATACCACTGCAAGCCTTCAAGATATGTAAGCTCGTTCTGCGTAGATCGGAGCAAAAATTAATATTCAAAAGCTGTAGGTAGCCCGGTTTTACACTAGACATCGGAACATAAAACACCTCAAACCCCTCCTCCTCCACCCCCATGGCCAAGAGGTCGGAAATTAAAAATAAATAAAGCAAGTTCAATTAAACGCGATAAAATCGGTAAAACTAGTTTTATTTCCTAGACACAAAACTACTTACAGTTCGGCAGCTATCTGTCTTGACAAGTGCACAGAGAACAATATTAAAGCTCACATAAATACAATGAGCTGATGAAAAAACGTGTGTTTCAAATGCCATTACCAAGCGTTTCTCACAGCTTTCGCAAAACGATTTAGTCCACTAATTGAAACACTAATATTTAACAAAGTTATAAAGGCATGCGACATAAAAGATTGCTCAAGGAACACAGCTAGAATGAAAATACGATATTGGTTGCTTACGCTTAGTTATGAACAAACAGAGAAACTGCTGCAAACATTGTCATAGTAGCTATATGGCCAATATTGATATTGTTATTATAGTAGTAATACAAAATACTGTAAAATATATATAATATGTGCGTGTATAAGTGTGTATATATGTTTAAGTATATATTTATGTTTATAGACTATAAATAAAATGAGGAAGACATTTAAAGTAAGGGCAAGCTTCGTACTTTGCACTAATTCTGTTTTTCTACCGATTTCAAAAAGGAGACGCTACTCAATTCGACTGCATGTTTTTTTTTAATGTGTGTTACCTCATAAATGTTCATGTTTAAAATTAGGAAATACCTAGATCACCGGTGGACGCCTGCTGGCCAGTGCCCACCAGCACCTCGACGGTGCCGTCGTCGAGGTGCACGGTCCTCACGGCGTGGTTGTTCGTGTCGCACACGGCCAGCACCGTACTCGACAGCCAGCACACGCCCTGCGGCGAATCCAATTTTGCCTCGTTCAGCTCTGCGCAATTGTTTTTTTGGAAATATAATATTTGTCGTATATATCCGATACTTACCATGTAGTCTCAGTGTAAGAATATCCTCTACCCCATATCATCCTGTGGGTGTCGTAAGAGGCGACAGAGTGAAATAAATCGGGAGATGAGCAGCAGCGTCTTCCTAATAGTTTAACAACTCAATTTCACCATCGCACATCGCGACTAAACTCGCGATACCATCCCATACCATCTGGATAATTGGCGGTCCACCACTGTCCGATTTAGAAGATGTTTTCTACCTCACACAACTTCCTTGTGGAATCGATTAACACCAGCTATTTTTCCGGACCGATACGATTTAGGGACCTTCAAGAAAAGAGCCTACTCCTTTTTAAAAGGCCGGCAACACATCTGCAATTCCCCTGGTGTTCATGGGCGGCGGTAGTCACATACCATCAGGTGAGTTGCATTCTCGTTTACCCACTCTCCTATAAAAAATTAATAACGATTGAAAATAACAAAGTGCGGTAGCCATCCCACTTACCAAGCATGGCAACTATTCCAAATAATCCCCCCCCCCCCCCCCCCTATGAGACAAGCTGTGGGGGAGGCTTATGTTCTACAATGGACTGGACTGGCTAATATTTTAAAATAGGTATCGAATGTTTTCGAACCTTGCAATATAAGTGTCGTAAATGGTTGTTCCTTATTCACACTATAGTGTTATAATATCTATTATATCGTAGTATAGTAAAAATGATATAATACAGATATCAACTAGAAAGATATTATCGTAACACACTCATAATAACATACAACATTTTACTTACTGCCATCCTTAAAGCCTGGATCTGGGCCACCTATGATGCGCAGGATGACACCGGAGCAGTCGGTAAGAAGCACCCGATGGTGACCCGTGTCAGAAATCGCTAAGAAAGGCTCTTCAGGTCGGCCACGGTAGAATGGATTCAATGCGACCTGCCAATAAAAGTTATAATTACCCAGGACTTGTATCTTATCACGACATACCCTAGTCTTAGAGAAAATTAACAACTTTTGCTAGAAATATACTGTTAATTTTATATAATGTACAATCAAAACGTGAAGAATTTTAATAACATAATTACGCCTAAAACCCATTTCACACGCACGGCACCGTGCCATCAAAAAGTAGTAATTAATGATCTAATATGCAAGCTTTCACATGTACGGTCACGGCCTGACTATCGTGGTTATCCACTCTAAACACGATTTCAACGCACCGACCACGATATTACCTACTAGTATAAATGGGCTTCACATCATGATTAATGCTTGAGATAGGGCGTGGTACTACGGACAGCATTTGTTAATAGGATCGCAGGTGTATTCATTGGCTTTGCTGTAAGTGTCGCACAAGTGAAACGTTTTTATCCCGCTAATAAATTTATCTAATAATTTATCTATCTTGTGATACAAGTCTGTTGTCACATAAACAAATATCAAAACAAATAAACCTAGCAAGCTAACAGCGTAGCAAAGTGGCGAAGCAATCAGCTTTGTAGCGGTTTCTAACGGTTGCCGTTGAGCAATCAGTTTCAAAATAGGAGGTTCAGATGCCTGGGTGATCATTAATCGATTGCTGAAATCAGAATTTGAAAATTCGAAACCGTTCTCGAGATAATCGTGGAACAGACTGACAGACGGACAGACATCGTGAAATCAATAAGTGACTTCGCAAGCTTCGCCACTTAATAAGCGTGTAGTTTTCAAGATTGACTCCACTAATAAAACAATATATAAATCAATGATTTACGATGTATTTTATTTTAATAGAAATTAATAAATAAATCGAACGGGTGATGTGATAACATATACATATACTAGCTCGCCAGGCAGACGTTGTTCTGCCCTTTCCAACGACCCTTCCTATAAAAATCCTTAAATTCGCAATAAAAAAATTTGAGGGTCATTTATCGGTATAAAAACTATCCTATCTTTCAAGATGGACCAAACTGCACACAGTGTTCAAAATTTCATTGAATACAGTTTAGTAGTTTAGGAGTTCATCGCGAACAAACAAAGTGACACGTAATTTTTATATATAAAGAAGATAAGCCTCGTACCTAAATGTAAAAATGTAAAAAAAAATAGCATGACACGACGCCGCGCGGCTGCCGTGTGCATGTGAAAGGATTTATAAGAATCAATCAACCCATCCTCCCATTGACTGTCTTGAGTCGACTAAGGGAAATACCATATTAATAATGTGGCAATAGACGCCATAACTACCATCTTAAAAGTACCATATCCAAAATAAATTAACCCATGGAGACAGGCGTCTCGTATAACGATCGTCAATTACTACGTCAAGCGTCTTACAGGCTGATGATAATTGACCGATGGTTAACCATCTCGTTAACTTCGTGGCGCTACTACGTATAAATGCTTCCAAACCAATCCAATCCACCTTTCAAGGCGTTTGAGGCGTTTCTTCCCAAACGGGAGTGGCCCATGTCCAACAATGGTCTTCTGAGGAATTAAAAATAGTAAATATATACAATACAAACCTTGCTAGGAAAGTATAATACTTCGTTATCTTTAGATTTAATATAGTTAGATGGTGAAATGGGCAATGAAGCTGTAGAGACACGAGAGCCAAAATGGCGTATTGCTGCACCAACATACCAAACCAGCTCACGTCTATGGCCTTCGCCAGTCAATATAAACATTGGTTTGTTTCCTGGCCCTGCATTAAAATACAAACTTATAATAAACAAATCTGACAAGTGTGACTTTTAAATACAGTATAGTTTTAACAATATAAAATTTACAAGTGGTAGAGCCACGCCACGCTGCAGCTATATTATGGTTGTAGCACGAATGGGACGGCTCGACCGGGGTAGGATCACGCTCTCACGGAATACCGGCGTAAAATAGCAGCTTAATGCTGTTGTGTTTCGTATGATGAGTGTAGACAACACAGACCCTTTTAACTGAAAACGAGCCATTCATCTTAGTTCTCAGGGGTCCTCTCCATTTTGATTCTTAATCGAGGATAAATGTGGAAGCCTAAGGACCAAAGCATAAACTTACCATCAGGTGAACTGTGTTTGTCACAATTATTTTATAATGTGGTGACGGGATAAAAGAATCAATGACACCCCCCCCCCCATAGATGGAGTGACGACCTGGTAAGACATGCAGGAAGTCGATAGATGCAAGTGGCTCATGACCGTGCTTTGTGGCATTTTTGTGGGAGGCTCATGTTCAGCAGTGGACTTGCGAAGGGCTGTAATGATGCTGCTGCTCATCTCCTGTTTCATTGTACCTTTTTGTTTTATCAATGGGTTTAACAGAATTTAATTTACTTATGTACAAAGAAAGGAAATCCACGTATGACTTGAAAGCTTATATTAAACTAGCTGTGCCCCGCGGTTTCACCCGCGTCATCACGTGTCCGAGGTGCGCGACATGACCTAGTTCAAGCATTTTATAACGGCTAGGGTTTAAGCGTCATTCGCGCGCCCAGCCAAGTATTGAATTATTTTAATTTTACATTATCTCTTAAACTATGCCTCCAAATAACATGGTATAAAGAACAAAGTTTATCTTCATAAAATTGTCTTGATGATGAAGTAACTTTCATTCGTAAGGATAAATAGGCCATGCCTAATAATAACGCTCATAAATCACTTTTACATTTTTAATATTTTTTTGTCACAATATACCAAATTATGGCTTATGTATAAGAAATAGACATATGGTATCGCGGACTTTTTTTTAGACGGAATAAAGGTCTATATTTTTCTAGAACATTGTATTTACGTATCCCTAACGATAACACCAGCGTACGCGGATAAATCATTTCGGGAGTGCTTTTTCTTCGGATTTGCTTAACAAATATCCATATTTAAGGATAGCTGAGTAATACAGCTTAATGCTAGATAGCCTATACTATTCCACATGAATCTGGCTATAATATACAAAAAGAATTTTTCAAATCGGACTGGTAGTTCCAGAGATTAGCGCGTTGAAACAAACAAAAAAACTCTTCTGCTCTATTATATTAGTATAGATAAGATGTAAAATTTAAATAAATTTAAATAATTTACCCAGTACAAGTAATGTAGGCCAACAGCGGATCCCGAGCGCATCCCAAAATAAACTGTCAGCATCATTCACAACAGGGTGATGAATGTTATACCTTTGTACTGCTGCTAATATATTTGCAGAGTCTTTTTCATTGCTGAACTTTGCACAATGCACTCCAATCTGTAAGATTTTATATAAATTATCTAACTGAGACACAATGTGTCTGTCTTAATGTGTATATGCTAATAATGGAATTTTAATATTATTCATATAACTAAATTAGATTAAACAATGTTATTTTATTATATTAAATATTTATAAAGTATTAAGAACAATTTTTATTTGCATATGTTATATTTTTAGGTTTATTCTCTAAAGTAATTTTGTGTAAACTGAATTAGAAAAAAATATTTATAATAAAAACAATCACAAATAATCAAAATGTGTAAGGTAAAACACTAAAGAAAGCATGTAAATATTTCTTTGATCTAAATTTATTAATAGTGAAGTCAAGAAGATAGTGCCCAGCGCAGAATACTTATCCTCACCACCCAAATAGTGTGGTTAACCATATAAATTATTTTATACTATTTGTTGATCTAAATCTTGGGGAATAGTCTGATGTTGTTAACGGTACCCACATACCTTTAAATTAGTGATAGATTGGGTCCACATTTAGCGGTTTCCTTAACATCAATAATCTATAGCAGTATTATAATAATTTACTAAATAGTTAATAAATAGTAATAGTAAAATTTTGGACTTAGACATGAGCAATATTCATAATGGAAAAAAGTCCGTGCCTCTTGATTTAGTAAGCAAGCAAGATGCTCATTACCCGGTGTAAGTCACATACATTATAATTATCAATTGACAAATAATATTTTTAATGTGCAAATCCACCAACAATATGATTTTTTTCTTATAAGCTAAGCCAGCGCTTAACTACAATCCCACCTAATGGTAAGTGGTGATGTAGCCTAAGAGGGTGAAGCGCACTGTCTGAACAAAAGCCTATTCACTCATGCCTTCATGACACCCACATTGTAATCGGATAGAATCACAGATGCTGGCAACTTATTTCACTCCTATGTTGTACGCATCACAAACGATGTAGCAAACCATTTGGTTCGAAAATTATGCATTTCCTGCACACACTCTCCTCTCCTGTAGAAAACCGAAAGGCTGACTACTTTGTGCGTGTGTTCGAGGCTGGTAAGATTGGTTTTAACCAAATTTGCATCACCAATAAGCCTCTTAGCACGTCTTTCCATTGAGTCCAAAGCTGCCAGGTGGTATTTTGCAGCACCAGCCCATATATGGCGGCAATACTCCATGCACGACCGGACTTGCACTTTATATAAAGTAAGTAGACGTCCCGACGTGAAGTATCGCCGCACCTTTGCAAGGACTGGTAGCTTCCTTGCAGCTGCTTTGGCTTATATTTCTTCATTCTACATAGGTTTAAATTATTTTATAGAGAATTATGTTTCTTATTACAAAGTCAATAAATAATAGTATCCAACCTTGTATCAGAAAGAACTTTAAAAAAATATAAAACCTTCGTGATGAAATTGAGCTTGATCTTCTTTGTGAAAAAGGTAACAAACTGCTGATCATATTATAGTATCAAAATTTTAAGACATTGAATGCACTATTGCTCAAAACTGTAATGGTTTGGTAAAAGAAAAACGAGGTAATAAAACATCTATTCTCTCAACAACACCCCTGCATGGTATATAAGCTGGTGATGAGCCCACTATTGCTAATTTCTTTGGCATTTTCCTCCATATCCTCTGAAGACAGTTCATGTTTTAAAACAAAATATAATTTAAAAAGTAATAATCTAGACCACCTTTTAGGATGCATATGTTTCACAAAGAAGGATGTCCTCACTTCAAATCATAGAATAAATAATAGTACAAGAACTTCCAATAAAGGTACAGATACCTTCAGATGTTTTTTAAATATCGCGTTGTGCATTGCTTCCTCAATAGGTATCAACTTTAATAATTCGCTTGCAGAAAGAAGGATATTTCCTTATTTTATGGATAAAGGCCAGAAATGTGTCAATTTAAAAAAAAATCTTGGGGATGTTAAAAACTATAGACCTATTTTCATAATTTTATTGTAGTATGTGTATGGGTATTATTCAGACGACAATAGCAATAGATGCTAGGAAGGGAAAGGATGATTCCATTTCAATTCTGCCAAATAGCATGGCGGTTCTACAAGCTCTGAGCAGCAATGTTATGAATTTGAGGTTTATAAACAAATGCCGTCAAATACTAAATGAGGTATGTAAATACAACAATGTGACCTTACAATGGATCAAGGGCCACAGAGGATCCATAGGCAACGGTGCTGATGACAAGCAGGCCAGAGGAATGGCTGATGAGGGAGATGACATAGGGCCGGAACCAAATATGTCGATTCCCTTTGGGTATGTTCACTCACTTATACATAAAAACTATACATGACAGACATGCTCAGCTTTTACAAAATCAAGAAGATTGCAGGTACACTAAGAAAGCCCTGCCTGCAATTAAGGTGCCAATAAGACTAAACAAACCACAGATTAAGATAGTGCTATTTTCGGGCATGGTTCTTTTACCACCTGTATAGGGCATGTATGAGAAAGGAAGAAATGACGTCCCACATGCTACAAATGTATCCCGAGATCGCAACAAACAGGGCTAAACATCTCGACACGCTGAGGTCCCTCATCAATGTTATTGGTAACATCAATGAACTGCTGAATTTCTTTAATTAGATTTCATAACTTGAATCACTACAATATTCCTGCCCACATGCAATGTCATGCCTGTTTTATTTAGTTTTTACAATGAGCCTGTTGTAATTAAGCCGGTTGCAAACTAAACTATTGGACAGTTTCCGCCTCACAACCAGTACTTCTGTCCTCTTCAAAGTAAAATCAATGTTAACATAAAGTAAAAATATAGAAATTACTGTGAAATTGTCAATCTTAGATATATTTTCAGATCCCTCTCAAAAGTTTAGAAGTAAAATTATCAACTATCAATTATGTATCACATTTTCCAGAGTTATTTATTTTATTCATGTTAGTTTTTTACTGTTGATTTTTAATTTTTTAATAATGTCTTTTGTTTTTGTTGGAATAATGTTTCATTTTATTTGAGCAATTTCTGTTGTACATTGTCTTTCTGAATTTGTTTTGTATAAACCTTTTGTATACTTACTGTTGGTGTACCATTATTAGATAAATAAAGGCATATCTACGTGGTAGAGCCATGCTGCAGCTATATTATGGTTGTAGCACGAATGGGTCGGTTCGACCGGGGAAGGACCATGCTCTCACAGAAAACCAGCGTAAAATAGCAGCTTAACGCTGCTGTGTTTCGTATGGTGAGTGTAGAGAACCGGAGACCCTTTTTACTGGCAAAAAGGCATTCCATCTTAGTCCTCACGGGTGACAACGCATCTGCATCTTGAGTCTATATTGAGGATAGATGTAGATGTCTATGGGTTACAGTAACCACTTACCATCAGGTGGACTGTGTGCTCGTTTGTCACCCGATCCTATAAAAAAAAAATCTAAAAATAAGACAACATAATTAGAATATTAAATTCAATTGTCAATTAGCATTAGCACACATTAACAAAAAATAATAAAATTCTTTAATTTCCTCCGTTATCTTTAGGCAAGTGTTATAAAGAACATGATAAAAATAGAAACAAAAAAAAAACAATATAACATAATTAGTAAATATACTTACAAAATTACTTTTAATAAGTTGTCTTTGGAAAAGATAATTTAACTGTCTAGATAGAATCATCTTCACCAATAAAGAAATAGAAGAATTAGAAAATAATAATTAGATCTAATTATATACAAGTGTGTGTACAAGAAACAAATGTCTTCCTAATATACTGCTTTCTTGTTGACAGTTTAAAATAGTACTTGTGAATTTATTTACATTTAAAACTTATTGGTTAGTAAAAATTGCAAATAAAACCATCCAGGCAGTAACATTATATCTATACAGTATACAAGGTAGAGCATAATAAACCATTTGCATCATGGTTTTAGCAAGAAATCACAGGCATGAGCTTTGAAGCATGAAAGAGCTAATATATATATATATATATATATATATATATATAAGAATTACGTGTCACGTTGTTTGTCCATGATGGACTTCTAAACTACTGAACTGATTTCAATGAAATTTTGCACACTGTGTGTATTTTGGTCCAACTTAAGAGATAGGATAGTTTTTATCCTGCTAAATGACCCTCAAAATTTTTTTATTACGATATTAAGGATTTTTTATATGAAGGATCGTCAAAAAGCACTTTCTTGGCACTTTATTCTGAAAATGATTTCTTATATTTTTTCTTGTCTTAACAGTCTTAATAAATACATCATCATGATTACAGCCTATCAACAGTCCACTGCTGAACTTAGGCTTCCCCCAAAGATTGCCTCATAGAGAGGACAACTACCACAATTTCACTATTTTGTTACAATTATAGTTATTCTATTTCACAATGAAGGATTGACTTTGGTTGTTATTAGCCATACACATACACATTGTTTTAGTGTGTGTAGGCCTTAGGGGCACTCAGTCACTATTGCAAGTCGAACGAATCTCAGTTACACACACAACCACACCTGTTGGTACATGTCCCTACTACAATCAAGGCGAAACCTTCATTGTGAAATAGAATAACTATACCTTTGTCGCCTCTTAGGACTCCCACAGGGTGATATGGGAAGTGGATTCTCTTACGCTTGGCAAGTATTACTTATATCATTACTATTATCAACTTTAACTTATAATATTATAATTTAACAAGTCCATCTAACCACAACAAGTCCATTTTCAACCGAGTATATATTCTCCAAATGTGCTAAGTCAGGCAAAACATGGTAACAGTTAATACAGCAATAAGTCCAAAAATCTAAGACCACAACTTTATCAGCACAATGTTGGGATAGAGAAATTTGCTCGGAGACATTAACCCATTCTAAATCTGCAAATGAAAAGAATACATTTGCATGTCACATAAAACTTGTTATTATGTTTTAATTTATTTTTTATTTTAATTGTAATCAATATAATTGTCCTCACCTTTTTTAAAATCATCGATAGGTGTGACTATTGAGTAAACTTTTTTAATATGATTAATAATAAGGGAATCACGATCCGCTTCAGAGGCTACTGAACTCATAGCATCTGTCAAGTCCATGCATGCCTGTGCCACGAAATCTAAGGGGCTTGATTCCATGTTTTTTTAATAACTACTCAAGTCACTTTAAAACTAGTTCAATTAAACTTAACGGTAAAGTTTATTTTATGTTATGAAGAAATTGTCACATTAACTGAATCAATAACCAACCAATACTAAATTACGCAAGTAACGGTTTCGGGCATTTTCAATAAAAATAATAACTTTTTATAATTTCTAATAACATTGATATAGGTACTAAAAATATCAATGAATTAGAGATTTTAGTCAAAGTCAAAGTTATAAAGTGATCGTCTTGTCTACTGTACACAAACTGTATCAAATAATCAAATATCAATGTCAATGTCAAGATGTCAAGTCAAGTGAGCAAGTGTCAACTTGAAAGATCATTATGACATTTTTATTACGATAACCATGGATACTAAGCATGGAATCTTTCTTTGTGGAATTCCTTGGGGAAGGCCTAAGTACAACAGTTGACTTGTGGATGGCTGTAATAATATATAATAATAATAAGGCAGGTGATAATAACAATAAGGCAAAAGAGGAAACCGATTGAAAGATTATGCGTGTAATTCCATTCTCAACGCATTGAAATCCTACAACGCGCTTTTACAGTTTATACTTTATACGGCACTTTACATACTATACCACTGGTATCTCACACAGACAGCCCTATAACCTCCTCACTACAGGGACCACTTTTTATGTCAGATTCAAATCATATTCGGGATTTAAGCTGTTTAGGGGTTACTTTTTAACTGAAAAATTACTGAAAAAAATCTATTCCCGTAACAAAGAGTTTTTCCTTATGTCCTGCCACTAGAACAGATGCAGGCTACTTATATTTTCAGGACTATTTTATGTTCTGCATACAAGACAATTACAGCCAATGTGAGTATATTATTGTGTAATGAAATAAGATAAGCCTATTTATTTACTTATTTATTTCGACCAGCAAGAATCATAGGGTAGTATTACATTCATTTCAAGTTAATTCTAATACTAAAATTATTACTCATTACTAAAATTAATATATCAAATGCATAAGTATTCATAATAATATTGAAAATATAATAATTATTTAATATTAACAAAATAATGTAAATCAATGTAAACGTAACTCACAACAGACCCGACTTAATAATATATTATCAAAATCATAAACAATAACTTATATTAATGATATAATAATAATAATTAATCATTTATTTCAGGCGATAATTTGTTAAAAGTAGATAGTAAAATTAAATAAAAATTACTTCATATATCTGGGTTGCCTGTCCGAGGCAACGGATACATGGACATGAACATGCATCCAGTACCTCAAAAAAGTACAATCGGGTTTCTCGCTAATTACGTTAAGAATGCTGTTGGCGCTCCCACGAACCCTGTGCATCAGTGACGCAGTTTTTTTGCGAATCAGTGTTGAAAAATTGTCTATGTGGGCGTCAACAAACATACCTGATGCACTACAGTAACGTGGGAGCCCCAGCAACAATCTAAAAGCGTAATTATAATGTATACGTAGGGTGTTGTATGCCCGCTGCGTAAATCTGACCCATAAGGCGCACGTATAGAGGGATTGGCAATAGGCCTTAAATAAAATAAGTTTTACCTCGTCTGTACAACGTGAGAACCGGCGGGCCAGCATATTGCAGCGGACAGCCAGCGCCCTCTTTTCTCTTTCAATATCCTCTTCTATAAAGTACTCAATTTTTTAATGAAAAGACATATTATTAAACTTTAAATTTAACTTCTTCGTTATTTATTTTGAACAGATAATATTTTTATAACATTACTTATTGATTTAAATTGTACATAAAATCAGTCTCAATAAGTCAGTCATCAACAGTTATAGAATCCTATCTAGCATACAAACAATAAAAATTGACGCCATTTGCGTAGCTATAATTGAAAAATAAGAAAATAAAGCCTCTGAAAATAATTATGGATTATGAAAAGCTTCAAAACAGTTTCTCTGAGCCGTGAAACATAAATACACAGCACATTTTTTGCAGGTAACTGTAGTTTTTTTATAACAACCCTCATTTCTGCATCTATTTTGCTTTCAACTGTGTTGTGACATGAGATTAGCTTTTTTTTGACGAATAGCTTTAGTTGGTAACGGAACTATAGTAGTTTTACGTTTCTTATGCTTTGGTAAAAGTTCTTCAAACTCATCAGCAGGGTCATCTGTGTCTGTAGAATCTAAGTTATCAGCAATTAACTTCTCACCAAGTTCCATCTTAAATTCACGTATGCCTATAACCTTTTTAACGCCTTTTTTCTTCTCTCTCTGTCTGAACTGAAGGTATGAGTTAGCAACAGCCAAGTCTATCATATGAGAAATTACTCGTATTGTCCACTTTTTTGTTCTGTTACGTGAAGGGCATACAGCTAGCATTCTATCAACTAAATCTACACCCCCCCATATTTTCGTTATATTCTTTGATAAATTCGGGGCGTCTTACACGTTCATACACTTTGTTTTTCTTCGACCATCTTTCACACTCATCTGCATGTCTATTAGATAAACGCGTTGACAACATCACCACGGGCTTATTGTCCATCCAACGTGTCACTGCCATCTTGCCATCTACTCGTGTTTTTATTTCGCAATAACCCCGTTGCTTTTTCATAAAACTCTTATCTTCTTCCATCATACAGTTTTTGGGCAATCGGTTTCTCATAATTGTTCCAGTCGCGTGAAAACCTTTATTCAATAATTCATCACACAATTTGATAGTGGTAAAATAGCGATCAAAAAATATGTAGTGACCAGGGACAAGTGCTTCGGTCAGCCGAAGAATAGCTGTTTCTCCGAGACCAAAACCCATCTGTCTAATTTCTGGAAGAGTTGTGTCTCCTTGATATATCTCGAAATCTATAACCATACCCTGAGCCGTTGCTAATGCAAATACTTTTAACCCTAAGGGATTCGGTTTGTTAGGGTTATATTGACGAATACAACATTGACCAGTAAACGGAATGATCATTTCATCAATAGACATTTTTGCTGTGCGAGGTTGAAGTAAACATCCTTGTCGTACTTTCTCGAAAAGGGGACGCACTTTCCAAATCTTATCTTTTTGACGCTCTTCGACGGTAACATCAAGATCATAAACCACTTTTAACGACGTTCTAATTGCGCGAAAACGCAGACGTGTTATGATAGGCTGTTTCCATTTAGACGACCAATACATGTCTATTTGACGATATTGTAATAAAGCCATAATCATTGTCACTCCAATATAAACTTTTAATTCTTTAACTGTAAGACCAAGTGACCTGCCTTTTACATGAACTGCTGTTCTGTTTGTACAATCCACAATTTGTAAGAGTATTTATTCATTTATATAACGTTCAAAGAACTGTTCATATGACCATCCATGGTCGAAATTTGGCACGTATGTTGGTTCATACAGATTTACTTCGAGAGGTTCGAAATTTCCAGTCCATAAATCCACAACATCAGGTTGAGATTGAGACGGTATTTGTCTGTAGGTTGGCTGAGCTGACCTTCGAGGGCGACGAGAAGATCTTGCTCGGCGTAAACCAGAGCCAGTTGCCTGGCGTATTATAGATCCACTCGATAAAGCCGGCGATGGTGGCTCAACAACATCATGGGAGTCTGAATTTACAGAAGAATCACTAGAATCATACCTTCGACGCTCTTGTGTAGCGATTTCCTTGGGTTCATTATATGTGGAATCTTGGGTATCATCGTCGCTGCTAAAATCGACATCAGATTCTTCTAGTAATGCTAGCACGGTATCGTCAGAACAGGCTAAAACAAATATCAAATAAAATATTATTTACGTAATTCCAAAATAAAATCAAATCGAAAATAAAATCATGGCAGAATTCGCGTAAATATTGACAAATCAAACTAAATCTGCTATTCGAAAACGTAATTTAAATAACTTTTGATAGAAATAGCAACATTTTTATAAGATTCAGAAAGTTGAACTTACCAATGCCCGAGCGCGGCTCGATACGTCTGGATCTCGAAGCCATTTTGGCAGAATTGACCTTCAGTTGAGCTGTCAAATATTTTTCTATACCTACAACAATCTTCAATAGATGTCGCTAGGGGTTTTATTTGACGTGACGTGAATATTTACCTCGCAAGATTTTTTATATTTTTATGTTCTATAGGTAGTACAAGTTCAGTGAGGAGGATAATCAAACATTTGAATTTTTGAATTTTTTGAGAGACTTTGATTTGAATTTAAAATTATGTTTCTTGGAAGTAGGCAGAAGATATGTGACCTGTGTTTCTTACACAAGTGCAGTAAGCTGCTGAAGCGAGTTCCCCTATCAGTACTAAGTAGATATCCTCACTATTGCATACTTTTCGCTAGAATGCATCTTGGTAAGGAAGCTCTCATGATTCGCACATCTGCAAAATATAATGAAATATCTCGAACTATACGTGACATCGACATATTCCACAACTTTAGACTGTCTTTAAATAATATACTAAAAAAGATTTTTATTTTGGGTACTTCCCATATAAATAAATGGAGGATGATTTTCTTACTCGTCTATTCAATTGTATATCGATGGATAGGTCTTTCAAAAACACGTAGGATGTGGAAAAACGTCTTTTCGATTCATGGGTCCGCTTGCGAAATATTTAGCTTTAAGATGATATTTTCTGTTAGATAGATAGATGCATCTTATCCCGAGGAGTACAATTTGCCACTATGTCTGGCGTATGTGGACTATGAGAAAGCCTTTGATTTCGTCAAAATTTGGGCGGTGCTGCAGTCCCTTCAGCGATGCCAAGTTGACTGTCGGTACATCGAAGTCTTGAAGTGCTTGTACAGTAGGGCTACGATGGCTATCCGAGTACAGAACCAGAGTACGAAACCTATCCAATTGCAGAGAGGTGTAAGACAGGGTGACGTCATATCCTCGAAACTCTTTACCGCTGCATTGGAAGATGTTTTCAAGCTTCTGGACTGGAAAGGATACGGTATCAATATCAATAGCGAGTACATCACTCACCTTCGATTTGCCGACGATATAGT